ACCCCGCTCAATCTGGGCCTGACGACTTGACCCGGACCTGAACCCGGGAATGTTATGTTCGCGTATTGCTATGTATTACTCGGTATTTGCTCGGTATTGCTTGGCAATTACGAGAAATATTGTTATGTGAAGACTAATACCGACCAATACCGAGTTTTTCTAGAAAAACTCGGTATTGCTCGGTATTACTCGGTATTGCTCAGTATTTGTCTTCACATAATGGTATTTCTCATTATTGCCGAGCAAAATCAACAAATACCTTGCAATACCGAGCAATACCTAGCAATACCGGGTTGTCATGGATTTAAAAAACGCACGTGCGACATACCCACTATTTGCCGGGTCGGGTCCGCGGTTTTGTGCCTACTACGTGGCGCGATCTCAATGCCGGCCGAACGTAGCTCTATGTCCGTTCACCAGACCAAATAAAAGTTCCAAACTCAGATCGCCAACTGTTTAAATGGCTCGAACTCGACTCGTTTGCACCTCATCATTGAAAGAAATCAAACCTAACAGTAACAAAAACTTGTATACCTACCATCAACAAACTTATTTTTTCACTTTCATCAAACAAACATAAAACTGTAACATCCATCCCCCAAAATCATGTATAAACACATCAAAACATCAAACTATAACACTAAACTAAATTAAAGACGTAGAAAAAAGCATAACTTGAAATGAAGGATGAACGAACCTAGACCAAAGGATGAACTTGGAAGCCTAGAAGTGGAACGGACGGTGGGTGTTTGGGTGATCTTCCTTGGCACAAAGTGGTTGCCCGTTGCTGGAATAGACTGGAACGAAGATGCCTCCGCTTTCGCTCGCCATTCGCTATTTCATTTTCTTCTCGTGATCGAAATTGAAACTCGCTCCCATAAACCCTAGTTAGAACATTTAACCCACTCGCACCAAGGGTTTGCGCTTCTAATTTGGCCTGTCATCCGTGGCTCGGCTATTGGAGCCGCTTGACAAGCAGTCGAGTCGAGCCGAAGTTTGATCGAACTCATTCTCGTTTATTTGACGAGCTTGAAAATTTGCTCGAACGCATGCTTGAAACTTGAAAAGCTCGGCTTGACATGTTTACACGCCTACACGTACACCATTCTTCTCTCCATGGCCATTTCAATTATTTATGTTGTTTGCTTTTCTCTTTTTGATTTCTTCATTGCTATTCGATTTTGTGTGCTTCGTGTGAGGTGGTGTTTTGAACGAGTCACTAAAAGAAAGTTTCTTCGCTCCTTCGACAATAATCCTTCCTGTTGGATCGCAAGTCACAATAGTTTGCCGTTATTCCAATTGGATTGGAAGCGAAGATGGGAGCTCACTTGTTGTGAAGATAATCGTCTTTCCCTCCTTTCGTGCTCTTCTCGACCAAATCCTGTAAATACATCAAATTCTCGTATTTAGTAAATCTGTGATTTATGTAAAAAGAGAGAAACAAATGATTTGTTTTGATGTGAGATTTAACTTTTCATCAAACCCTATTTGATAGAATTTAGCATAAATCTTGTATTCAAACACCCCTTTTATGGAACTAACAATATATGCATTCAAAATAAGCTCAAATTAATTATATATATAAATAAGAATAAATTTTGTAATATTTAAAATTTCATATTTATTTATAGAACATTCTCATTTTAAGATTATTTTTGTGTATTTATTTATATATCTAAGATTAAATTTTATGTTATGTATATGATACTTTGTTATTTGAACCACATCAAAACAAATGTATGAAGAAGTGCATTTCATATTAGAAAAGTTAACAATGGTGATATTTTTTATAACATTTAAAGATTTAGGTGTTATAGAAGTAAATGCAAATGTTTAGGTGTTATAGAAGTAAACCCACGTGCTCAATGTCGGGGAACCACTAACCTTGTAGCCACAATGCTTGCAAAGAAATTTTAAACATATGAATTTAGGCTATTACAATGTCATAACTCTGGGTGTTGACATTGGGCATCAGAGTTTTAATTGATGACCAATATTAGCCTTTGTGGATAAGGTGGACATTGAACTTATTGGCGATGGCTTTGGTTGGCATTATTTTTGACAATATATCATCATTGTTCGCAATTGAATGCATAAGCTATATCCGTAATGTGCATCAATCTTATTGACAATAATATGCATCAATATTGTTGTTGATGATGATGTCCATCGATGTTAAGACTGATGTGGGCATCACGATTGATGTCAATGTTGTACATCATTCTTATTATTGATAATGTAATATCGACGTTGTTGTTGATGGAAAACATCAAGTTTATTGATTGGCGTACATTAGTATTGGGCTAACGACTTACATAATTCTTATTATTGATAGCATGGGTTAGCATTAGTTTTAATGATGATTAGGCAATAGCTATTATCAAGCTATGATAGTCAGGTGTTAGTAATCGAGTAATGGTGGGTAGACGATGATGATTGAGTAATAGTAGTCTGATGACAACAGTTGTCGTGATGATCTTTAGCATCAATCATTAGGCAGAGAAATCTTCAACTCCAGTTCGAAGCTCAACCCACTACATGTGAGACATAATAAGCTATTATAAAGTTTTAAAGTGACGCCAATTGCACAAAAGATGTCATTTTTGCCCTCCAAGAAATGACAACAAAGACAATGTGCAAGTGATATAATCATCTATGTATTGTCCATTCTTAATTAAAGATATTATTGATCAAATATAGTGAAATTTTGGGATTCTTGGAATTCTCTAAAAAATTTTAGCTAATTTTTGTAAATTTTTCCTCTAACAAAATTATTTTCTCACCAAAAAAATAAAAAAAAAAATACTTATTTTGTTATTGCTTGCATTACAATTCTCTCACTCAACATTTTTACTGCAAAAAAATTATATAAAAATATTCTTATCACAACGAGCTTTAAAGTTTTTAGATATGTTTTGAGATACCTGTAATATAAATTATTTATATATTGCACTCATCTCAATGCTAATCCAAAGACTCAAAAGTCCATTATAATATAAAAAGAGTGAAATATAAATTATTATACTCATATTTGCATCCTACTCATAAAGACATGTACTAAAATCCTTCTTCTCTTCACATATTTATTCTCTTATTATTATTTTTAAAATAAATAAAAAATAATGTCACACAAGCCCTTAATTTATTTTAATGAATATTATAATTTCTAATAAACATAAAAAAAATCAAAGACAAATAAAACAATTGCATATGAAATCATAAACAAAACCCCATATATCCTCAACAATTTGAGATTTTGCCCCACTAAAAAATGAATTTATCCGCCCCCAAAAAATTTTTCTACATATGAATAGGGTAATTTTGATATTTCGGCCTCTTTTGGGATAACTTTCTTACTATTTTCTAAAATATTTTTTTAATACAAAATTTTTTTGAACTATACATTTTTGTACTAGAAAACTATTTTAAAAAATGGTAAAAAAACCATCCAAAAAGAAGCGTCATACTTGCCCATTAGCAGAATCAACCATACTCTTGAGGGTGGGCAAATTTACTACATTAATAATTAATATGAAAAATATAAAAAATATATATAACAATCTTTAAATTTTCCAATTCATATATATAAATAAATTTTAACCATGAGCAAAACTAATTTTTTATGGGGGCAAAATCTCAAAAATTTCCTCCCTCTTATGCAGGGAAAATTATTACGTCCGGTCAAAAAATTGGAAATCCGAACATATATCGAGCAATACTGAGTGCTCACGGTGATGTGGCGCGTGATTATTGGTCTCTGGACGCGTTTGATGTCCGGACGTAATAATTACTTCTTATGTAGAAATAAAATTTAAGGGCGTGTGCAATAAAATAAATTTTTTTCTACAAATGGAAATTATAATATATGAAGATGAGTACTTTCGGTCCAACTAATACTTATTAAGTTATGTTCAAATAATCTAATTAGCGCGGAACAATGCTTTGATTGTTTGCACAAATGTGATTTTCAAGACTACCCATGTGGGGGGCATATGCGCAAATCAAGGCTATGTTGATCTTCATTGATTGCGGTCGTGGAAGCGTTTGATTGGGCTTTTGGAGTCGCTCAATTCAACAGGCCCAATCAACTCTGAAAGCTTAAGAATAATTGAATTTGAAGAAATATAATATTTTAGCTGCTTTACAACGTTTTTTTTTAAGATGAAATAAAATACAATTTCTATAAAACTAAAATATTTTCGGGGACAAAAACAAGCAAGTTGTTATTAATTATTATCGTTTGCCATAATATTAGAATGTATAATCTTATATTCTTCACTCAAAAATATTATTTACTCTTTCATTTCTAAGAAAAAAGTGAAAATTTCTTTTATTTTTGACCTTAATCCTTTCAAATGTGGATAGTTAACCCCCATTCAAGAGAAAACTGAAAAGAGATTATTCTGCATGGATGTCGAACGCAGTTCATCGTTTCGAGACCAACCAGAATGCGCTACGTCAGCAATACCGAGCTTGGTACCGAGCCGGGTACTGAGCAATGGGTGACCTGACGCATTCTGCTTGGTCTCCGGACGACGTTCGACGTCCGCACATAATAATTTCACCTACTCTACTCCTATAGATATTAAAAATCTTGTGTCATTAACAACTCCACTTGTAGACTCCAGAGATAAAAGGGGATAATAGTTTGTCAATCTAAGATAACATAGAGCTTCTTTTAGAAGATGAAACTTGAACCTAAAAAAAAAAAGAGAGAGATGTTTACTCCTACCGTAACTTAGGCTTCGTTTGGGCGGCTTTTTTACTACTTCATAAATCAACTTTATAATACAAAAAATAAAAAAAAAATTGTACTAGAAAGCTGCTTAAAGAAGTAGTAAGAAAACTGTCCCAAACGAAGCCTTAGTCTATGTAGGAGAATTTGTTTCCATTAATTGAGAAGCATTAGAGCATGTAAGGGAAATAAGTAATGCATATAGATGATAGCATTTTAGTGAAGCCTGGAAAAGGAGAATATGCACCAACTGTATAAGACTATAAAATTTTTTTAAAAAAGAATTGGAGTCTACAAAAATAGAAGAACTAATCCCCACTCCCCCCCCCCCCCAAACAAATTTTCTCTAAAATCCTTCAAAACCCAAAAAAAAAAAACCAACCCCCCCCCCCCCCCCCCCCCAAACAGATATTTACCTAAGATCATTCAAACACAAGAAAAATAATATAAACAGGGGATCAATTTGAACCATTCGATGCCCGACGATCATCACTGATGGTTTTCATTAGTAACGATGATCATTATTTCCTAACTACTAACATTCAACCCCATCATTTGACTTCAATTATCCAACCATGAACACTCGACTTGTATTATATTATCTTCGATTAATTGACATTATATAATCGTCTCCACCCTCCATCACTTTTTATTTTTAGTCTTGTAATGGGAATCAAATAAGTATAATAAACTTTGTAATATCATTTTTTTTAATTGCGGAGAAGATTACTCTTTTATCTTTAATTACATAATAAACTATTGCAAATTAAGTTATTCCTAATAGTATTTCCCCTTTTAAGATTTTTTACATTAAAATTTTAAAGTCTCTTAAAACTTCTATCTGGACATGCTCGCTTTTTATATAAAGTTGAGATATAAAATACTATAAAATCATAAATTTTCTAACACGTAATAGTATTTAAGCTTCATTTAGGACATCTTTCTTAAGGCTTTCTAAAGAAAACTTTTTAGTATAAAAAATTTTAGTTAAAGAAAATTTTGTAAAAAAAAAATTGTTTTAAAAAGTAATAAAAAAATTGCCCCAAATAAACTTCATCTATTATTCTTTTAAATCACATAAAAAGAAATAAAAATTTTTCAAATTTCTCATCAATCAAACGTGCTCGAGCTATAGCTCGTTGGTTGAGAAAACTCGGCCCTCCTCCAGGAGCCGCGCGGCCCGCGCCAGAATAGCTCAAACGGCCCCAAAAAAGAATGATAGGGACTCCTATCATATACATACGTGTCGAAAGGAGAGCGACGTGGGCGAGCCCTGACCAGTTCGGCAAACAACGTGTAAGCTCCTGAAGAAAAGTGAAACCGATTTGTGCATTTCTCTTGATTAATCCATTACATGACTAAACAGCACTATATCTAGCAGAGAAATCTTCAGTCTTTAGCGTCTTCCTGCCCCTTTCTGCCAATGGAATCTGAGGAAGATAAGAAGACGAAGGTGGATCTCCTCCACGCCGCCGTTCACCAGCTCCTGGAGCACAGAAGGATCAACAGTAGCAGGGATCGTGAAGAAAGTCTCCTCCTTTCCAGATTACTCTGTCAGGTATTCTCCTCCTCGTTCAATTCCAATCAATTCATCTACCTTTCCATGTACTAATCCAAGTTTCTGCAGCTAGAATCGCTGGACGAAGAGGCGCACACCACCTGTTTGACGAAATGCCCCTACGGCCCAAAATGCTGTGGAGCCAACCAGGAAGCTAGTATTGAGAAAATTGCTAGGGAGCTGAGGAGCATCAAGATACAGAATCGGATTAGCCATTGTCTGCTAGCTGTGATGATCATTATAACCGCGGCGTGGCAGATGTCCGAGGTCTCGTTGCTGCTGTCAGTGAGGGATAAGCTCTGCAATCCGTTGAAAATTGTGGGGAATTTGCTCAGAAATTCCATTAAATGGCGAGAGAAGAAGTCTGAGATTGAAGAAGCTAGTTGGCCGCTCATTGGAGTGCCGCAGGTTCCTGATATTGATCTTGCTTTTCTTCCTTTTAATAACAACAACAACAACAACAATAATAATAGTAATAATAATAATAATAACAATAATGGGCATTGAAGATCTCATGAAGTTGTTTTTTGCGTTAAAAATGGCTGTTTTGAAATGGAGGGAGGGACTTTAGTTCTTCATATGTAGCAGTTGTGTTTTTATTTTTATTTGTAGGGGCTGTTTGGCTGCAAGTAGGATTTAGTTCTTAGTATATCCTGTAAATTAGGATTTAATCAATCTTGTGTACATTTTTGGGAATGAGAGGTGTTCAATCTACTTGAATGTCATTCGGTAATTTGGGTACTTATTTAAGGATCTTATTATGTTTGTTTTGTCTATATCAACTGTGATTATATTAATTTAATCATGATTAGTTTAAGGTAATATTTTGAATTGATTATTAATTAGTAAATTATTAAGCTATTTAGATATAATAACTTCTATTAATCAAATTAAATAAAAACAATACCAATTTGTTTGTTAATATCTTTTTAATTAACTAATATTAATTATCAAGGTTGATTTGATTTTTTAATCAATGAATAATATATAATTTATTTGATTGAATGCTAATAGTTTTTAATCAAAGAAGCTGACTTGAATTTTTTTAAGTTGAGTTTGTATCAAGTTGTTGGGTTGGATCATTTATTAAAGCTCGAGCTCGGCTCATGCCACTGAAAACGAGCTCGCGAGCCTTTTGCGGTCCGTCTTTGCCCGCACTTCTGCAGTCCTCCTTCGCCCGCTCTTCTATGGTCCGCCTTCTCCCGCATTTTTGTGGTCCGCCTTTGCCCGCTCTTCGGCGTTCGCACACGTAGATGAGCCGCTCGAGATTGATGGAAATTCTACTCGAGCTCGAAACTCGACAAGCTCGGCTTACGAATTCGTTAAAGAGTCAAGCTCGAGCAGGCTTGCGAGCCGACTCAGCTCACTTACACCCCTAACCACTACATATTCAACACCATTATGATGTTGGTGCCCACAATCATTTCCTTATCATCACTACTATCCTTCACAATTTATTATTTAATGGTCATAACTTATCCACAAAGTCTTATACACGTAAGGTAAGATGTGGGAGAGGGATTGCCTTGTAGATGGGTAGGCTAGTTAGCTGGTTTATGAGTTAGCTAGTTGGTCGACTAGCTGGTTGTTGAATACTAAGCTCAGCCCAGCTCTTCATAAGTGCTCAGTAGTATTTGTCTCGAGGCCCTAGAGCAAAGCTTAGTTACTTCTGCACCTCTCTCGACTTCTTCTACAAATCTCTATGTAGCCATTCATATGGGTATTCTTTTCTCATCTCCACAAAAAAAATGTTGTAATTCTCTTCTATACCTTTTCTAGCAAACCTAACTCTGTAAGACTTTGCTCTTTGTATTCTATTAAAGAGCTCAATAAATCGTCTAGGCTAACCGTAAAGTGGATTAAGGTCATTTGATAAAGCAACTCTAAAAGTTCTTGTCACCTTGATCACAATAACCTTAATTTTTACATGATTAAATATTCTTTAATGAACTGTTAATGAACCAAATTTGAATTTCATGTATTCTTAAAGTTTTAGCTTGGGTCGTTGTGGCGCTCTGCCGCTCTGCTATTGAGCGTAGCAGCATTGCCCTCTTTGTTTGAGGGTTTTGAAATGAGCGGTGCTAAGATTTCTAATGCTGTGATAATAGGCCACTAAAAGTATTTCTATTTTGTAAAAATATCAAAATCCATCTGCTAAGATCCCTCACCTCATCCATTGCTCCCTCATTCCATTTGCATGGCCAGGTATGAAGAGAGGAGAGGAAGAGAAGAGATTGAGGATAGAGGAGAGGAAGAGAAGAGATTGAGGATAGAGGAGAGGGAATGTGGGGGGCTCAGGCCGATATTTTCCATCACTTTAGTTATGGATAATGATATTGCTACAATCAGGGCATGTAACTTTTATCTTATATTTATTTTCAATGGTTTTGATTTCCTACCAATTTCTTTCCCTCTCAAATTCAATAAAAAACATATGATTTTATGATTTAGACAATTTATACCATATAAATTTTGATATATGACAAATATCATTATTCTAAGCAATTTGATACGACATATTGTATTTTCCCTAGGTAGTTTTGTGTATCTATACTTTTACCCCAAATAATTAGGATAAAGCATGTATAAAATATGTGCCAACTTGTGTATTAATTTGAGTGCAAAGTACATGATATGCATAAATGATACAATTCATTTGACATGACATGCATTATGACATATTTACAACAACAACAACAACAACATCAAGCCTTTATCCCACTACGTGGGGTCGGCTACATGAATCCTTTTTCTCCATTGTGTCATATTAAAAGTCAAATTCTCGTTTAAATCTAATAAAGAAAGGTCATTCCTAATATTTTCTAACCAAGTCTTTTTAGGTCTACCCCTACCTTTCTTAACATAAGTCAAATCTAATACCTCTACTCTCCTAACCGGGTCATCACAAGGCCGCCGTTTTATGTGACCTAACCATCTAAGGCGATTTTCTCTAATCTTATCTTCTACTGGAGCTACTCCAACCTTTCACGTATATGCTCATTTCGTATCCTATCTCTAAGGGTAAAGCCACTCATCCACCTGAGCATCCTCATCTCTGCCACACTTAACTTAGCATTATGACATATTGACACGAAAATAATAAATATACATGCCTTATTAATTGCTCTAGTCATGTACATGATATAGAATAATTGTATTTTATATTGATATACATGCTATATATATATATATATGAAAGCAAAAAATATTGGTTGGAAATGATTAAATGATTTAGGTTGGATGGAGACATGTTATCATGTACAGGAAAGTGGGCCGATGAGCTTTCTTTTATGTAAAGTTTGTAGCGTAATCCTAAATGAAATAAAGAATGTATAAGGAAAAGAATGATTACTCTTACATGAAGTCACCTAACTATTTGACTTGTGATTGATATAATTGATTCATGTTTACATAGGTAATTCATGTTGATTTGGAAGACCAACATGAATAATACAAGAAAAAAAAAACAAATGAGCCATATGTCCTATCTTGCTTATTATTTATATTATATGACGTGCATATAACATGATCTCATACAAAATTGAACATGGCATGATAATTGCAAAACTGATATGACCTGATTAATACATGAATATGATGCATGATATGATTGATAATGGCATATGATGAGATCGCTTGAATTGATACTGAATACATGATATATGATGTAGATAGATGATATTTATATATGATACTCATGACATATTATATACATGCATGAAAATAGATATGTGATGTATGCCATTATATGATAGGCATATTGATACCCACAATGTAGCATAGAGATAACATTTATGATCTTGATTTGCATTGATAATTGATAGAGCAAAGCATAACTCAATGTAACAATAGAGTTTGAAATAGGTTCATAACCATAAACTAATTTGTGTTTAACATCCTGGACTTAAGCAAATGTAAAAATATGCAATATGCTTATATGTAATAAAATCCTATTACATATAAGCATCTTATTATATTATCATTGATTTTTTTTTTTCTACTCATGAGCCACTTCATTGTTATGAACTATCTTAATATGTTTTTATAAATAAGTGGGCAAAGTATTAGTTAATCATTAAAAATAAGTGAAAATTTATGAGTCTAGGAGCAGATTACTACAAAAATATGTAATACATTAGCATCCAACATGTTAAAAAATATACACAACATCAATTCAAAACTAATAGTTACAAAAATCTATATAAAAAGCTAAGATATTGTTGCTCTAGTAAAGGATAAAATCAATTCCAAATAATGAAAAATAATATGAATTGATAAAAAGAACAAAAAATCTAGTCAAAAGCTTAAAAACCTACTAAACCCTTCATTATAGACTTATAAATATGTGGGGAAACTTAATAAGCTAAATCCTACAATTTGAATGGCTTGTCACTTTGAACCAGAACTAAAAAAGATGAAAATAATATAACAAATATAATTTGTAATAATAAATGTAAATAAATTGAAGTGGTGACCACAAATAAAAGAGCTACAAATAAGGTACAATTGTAAGTTTATGTCCAAAATCAAGCAAAATTAACGCTTATCTGCCGCTAAATTATTTTATTATTTAACTATCATCATCTTTATTTTCATTTTGGTTAACATTAATATTCATGATATTTTGTTTAACAACATCAAGTTTAGGATCCTTAAATCTTCAAGAAAAAAAAAATTTAATAAAATATATAAATAGTGGCTAGATAACATGATGTCCTATCTTGATCACTATATAACTAATCTTTCACATATATTAATGCTTCGACAATATCATATTTTAATGCACTTTAATATTCTACCATTATTCTAGTGCACTTTCGAAAGTAACTGTAGAATTTTAATAACAAGGCATTATAAATTGTTGCAAAATTTTCAAGAAACTTGTATTAATTACATTCGCAGTATTGTAAGTTATCTAATTTGACTTCTTTTTTTTTGGGCTCAGCTAGATAAATTTTAAGTTCAAACATCCTAGGCATTATAACTTTTACCTTGAAAGAATTAAAATCTTGTATAATTTTTAAAAAAGGGAAAATAAGACATAGTAATTGCCTTCAAAATTAAATATCATTTGCAAAAATTATGATTTTATAATTGTTGAAGAAAGGCTTTCTGAAAGCTCACTCTGATAAGATTATGTTGCTTATGCTGTATGTGAAGATGAGTTGTTCCTATTTTCTTTCGAGTAATTCTCAAATAATGAAAATAACATTTCCTTTATCTTTTGAGTTTCACTAACATAATCACCATCATAAGTTTTTTTTGTGGAATCAAACAACAAAATTAATATGACAAGTATTTCTTAATCTTTGAAAGCATATTTGTTGTCAAGTTTTTTTATATAATCATAGACACTTGATATTTCATGCTTCAATGTTGTATAAGCAGTAGAGATGCAAGAAAATTTTTTTTTTTCAATATGATATTTTGTTTCACAAAAATACATGTGATCTCATTAAAAAGTGCTAAAAAGTTATTTATGTTTATTATTTTATAACCTTCATTGCTTAATAAAATTTTCATCTAGTAGGAGCATCTTCTCTTAAACCTATTTTGGCATCAAGATAATTTTGTTTTAAACATTCTAAGAATTATTATTTTCTAGCTTGGAAGCCTTTCCTATACTTTATACTCTTATGCCCTTTGAGATAGAACAATTGATCTCCTTCTTGCCTTTTTGAAAAATTAAGTTAAATAGGTGCACAACATTTTATATAGAAAAATTCATCATTATCTAACTATTTAAATGATTTCAT